TTTTGTTTTTCTTAGACTGGTAAATGTATCTTATACATTTTAATGAGTAACTTACCTTACTCCCACTAACCTTATGATGCGCACAAAATATGTTTATCTTATTCAATGTATTTAACTATTTTGAATTTATTACATTGAATAAAGATTATTATCCAATCATTCATGTTGGATTATTTAGTAGACTCATCTTATATGAGTAGTGCATTAATATGCAGCCTATTAATGGTTTGTATTTAATGGATTCATCTTATGAATTATGCATCCTTATGCATAATGGGTCGAACTCTAAAATACGCCAACAAAGCGCTCAAGTGATTAATCTCCTAGCGTACTCCCATATTGCCCAGATCATACAAACTTTGACAAAAGATTGCTTTTCCACAATCACATGTGTCAAAGTCCCAATTGACTTCTAGCTTAGAGCATCCATTACCACGACTATTTTGCTAGCATGGTAAAGTATGGTGCAGTCCTAATCTTTTAATAATTTTAATCAGCTACGCTACCTTAAATTCAAATCCCTCTGCTGAAATATATACTTCAAGCTCTTATGGTCTGTAGATATTCTGCAAGTCTCTCGATACAAAAAATGTCTCCATGTCTTTAATTCAAATACGATTGCTGCCCTATCTAGATTGTGTGTAGGGTAATTCTATTCATGCCTCTTTAATTGTCGTGAGACGTATGCAATGACTTTCCCATGTTGCTTCAACACGTAACATAATCCAACCCATGACATGTCATAATACACGATGTAGCCTCTAGATCCACATGGCAGGCTTAACATAGTTGCAGAAGTAAGACAAGCCTTAAGCCTTTGGAAATTAGCCTCAGATACATTAGACCAATTAAACTTAACTCCCTTTTAAGTCAATTTTGTTGAAAGGGATGTGATCTTGGAAAAATTTTACACAAAGTGTTTGTAATATCCAGCTAAGCCCATAAAACTTCTAACTTCTGTTACAGAAGTCTCGGCTAATATTCCACAACTTCCACTTTACTAAGATCCACTTGTACCCCTCATTCAAACACCAAGTGTCTTAAGAAACTGACTCTATTAAGCCAAAGTTCACACTTTGAAAATTTAGCATACAATTGATGCTCTTTCAAGGCCTGTAGTGTAATTCTTAAATGTTGTTCATGCTCCTCCTAGCTATTGGAGTGTATCAAAATATTGTCGATGAATACGAGCAAAAATTATCTAAATACACTTGCAATACCCTATTCATCAAATCCATAAATGTTATAGGTGCATTAGTGAGTCCAAACAACATCACTAAGAATTCATAATGTCCATAACGTGCGTAGAATGCTATGTTGGGTACATCACATTCTTTTATTCTTAATTAGTGATAAGCCAAGCGTAAATCAATCTTAGAGAAGCACACAACACCTTGTAACTAATCAAATAAGTCATCGATCCTCAGGAGTGGATATTTATTCCTTATTGTCACTTTATTCAACTATCGGTAATTGATACATAACCATAGGCTACCTTCTTTCTTCTTCATGAATAGCACTGGAACTCCCCATGGTGAAACACAAATAAGTCCTTTAGTTGCTCCTTAAGCTCTTTTAACTCAGCTTGTGCCATTCGTTAAGGAGGTATCAAAATTGGTTGCGTATTCGATATTAAGTTAATATAAAATTCAATTTCCTTCTCAAAAGGCAATCTGGGCAATTCTTTTGGGAATACATCTGGATACTCACCCATTATCAGTATGAAATCCACACTCCTTTCATCCATTGGAACATCTCTTGTTATGGCCAAGTACCCATGGCCTTTCTACTTTGGCATCAGTCTGATGGCCACATTTTTTAGTCTAAAATCCACCAATCCCATTGATCGATGTGTGGAGCATCCTAGAGCTAAACAAATACACTACATGTCTTTTAAAAACCTTTGGGGATCTTATTTCGCCTTTAAACCAGCAAATGATGAGGGCTTTAGTTTTAGAAAATTTGCAAAGGTGACCTAAATAGCCCTACTTTGATGTTCACACTAAGGCACATAGTTCGAATCTTGTGAATTAGAATCAACCCATTCCTCAAATGGTGCCTTGCTTCTATTACGAAACTCAGGAAATTCATGAGCCAAACTTTATAGCCTTATTGCCAAATCCTCTCGAGTGACACCTCCTCCTATAGGGTAATCATCCTTGATTCCCATATTCTCATCATCTATGTACTTATAACTTGGTTTTGCATTTTAAGTGCGTTTCGTTGCTTTACTCCTACCATGACTTCTTCACATGGATACTTGTAGTGGTTCCATAGGTTCATTCGAGGCATCCTGCTCACCCGTGGCCCTTGAGGCAGATTTTGTCTTAAGGG